TCTGCCCTCCAGACAGAGGCAGCCCTGGCCTCTGCGTCCTGGCTGGAAGTGGAGCCAGGGAGCACGTGCCCACGAGCTGCAGAGGCAGGTCACTCATCTGTCCCAGCTCCTCTGGGACCTTCTGGTGGGAGCTGCTGGCCCCACGGGTGCACAGACAGCTCTGAGCTCTGGCCCTCTGTGTGTGCTCTGCAGGGACAGCCAGCCAGGGAGGCCCGGGGGTGCTCAGATTTGGAGGCTGTGGGGTTGTCCTGGCTTGAGGGCCCAAGAGGAAGGGGACATTCCCTCTTTATCTGGTACACAGGCCCAGGCTGTGACTCTGACCGTGGCCCAGGCCTTCCAGATGGCACTGGATCTCTGGGAAACAGCACATGCAGGTAGGAGGAATGCCTCAAACACGTCCCTCTGTCTAGCCCTGGGACCGGGGTCTCGCGTGTGGGACCCTGTCCTGGGCTGTGTGGCAGAGAGGTGGCTCACAGCCTGGCTGGGGGACACACCGAGCAGGGAGAGCGTTGCTGCTGTGGTGTTCCCTGCAGCTGTCCCTTGCTTGAACCATCCCCTGAGCACAGCAGGGGCATCTGTCCCTTGCCCACAGTCCTGCCTGTATCTCCCCTCTTGGGCCTTCTCCAGGTTGGAGGCACTAACTGCTGCTTTTGCCCTGTCCCAGGCTCTAGGCAGGAACAGCCCCTTCACCCTTCATGTGTCTTGGAGAGCAGTGAGCCCAGCAGACCCAGTGAGCCTGCCCCCCCTGGGAGCCCTCCCTTCAGACACCAGTTTGGGGTACAGTATGTGCAAGTCTGGCCTGTGCCCAGGGCTGTCTCGCATTAGGGCAGAGAAGAGTAACCCTCATGCAGCTCCCTCCCCATGGCCTCCCAGGACCTTGCTGATGTCTGCACAGCCTGACTTGTTTAGTGTGAGGGTGCTGAGCCTGGCCCAGGCTGCCCAGAGAGTCTGTGGAGTCCTGGCTGTGCCCCTGGGCACCCTGCTGTGGGTGAGCTGCTGGAGCAGGGGTGGGATGAGATGATCCCCAGAGGTCCCTTCCTGCCCTGCCGTGCTGGGATTTTGTGACATGAAGAGGGACACTGTGCTCTGCTGGTTCCCAAGGCAGGTGTGGTTCTTCAGCTGGTCAGTGCTGCAGCAGCTCTCCTGTCAGGCCCAGCATCACTGGAGCACTCAACCCTGCTCCACTTGCCCTGTCACACAGGGAGCTGGGACCTGCTCTGCACACTTGGTGACATGGCAAGGGGCATGACACTATCTCTGAAGGAGAGGACCCTTTGGGCATCATCTTCCCTGCCTGGGCTACGGCTCAGCCCTGCCCACCTGCACTACACCCTCTGCATGCCCAGTCCCTCACAGCGTTGCCAGTCTTGCCCATCTCACTGTGTCCCTGTGCAGGAGCCTCTGGACACTTGGTCCTTGGCCTCACGCTCCCAGCACTGGCCCAGCCTGGGGCCACACTTGCTACCAGCCCCCTCCTGGGTGGTGCTCTGCCTGGCCCTCCAGCTGCAAGATGTGCTCACCCCTGCCCAGGCACTGAAGTGTCATGGTGAGGTTTGGTTTGGTTTGTTTGTTTGCCAGGAGGAGGAAGAGGAGGAGGAAGATGATAACGTTGGTGAAACCTTATCTGGGTAGGTGGGGAGCTGCTGCTTCTGTCCAGGGATCTCTCCGATGAACCCTGTTTTGTTTCCTTCTCTGCATCCTGTGCAAAGGGAGCTGCTGGTCCTGTGGGCATGGTGGGAGCATGGAGGAGACCTGCAGGGGAGAAAGGAGTGGCTTCCTGCTGCTTTCTCTGCCTCAGTCAGCTGAGGGGGCAAGTAGACAGGGAGCAGAACTGTGGAGGGCAGATGCTGACCCTCAGGATGTACCCAGAGATGTTACTTGCTCTCTTTCTGCTGCTTTTTGCTGAGGCCAGCCTGTCCAGACGTGCTTCTCAGGTGGGACCTGGGAGTTGTTCCACTAATTTTCCTGGGGCTGGGGCCAGGGTGAAGACCTGGTCGTGCTGGCTTCTGCACGGGGCTGAGCTCACTGTCTGTCCTGTGCTTGGGAGGAGCAGGTGGTACCAGTCCAACAGGGGAGGGTTAACCCACAGGTCTTTGTGAGAGGCCTGTTAGGTCGTGGCTGTGCTCCGTGTCCCTGGCAGCTGGCACCTGCTGGGGCCTGTCAGTGCCACGGGGCTGAGCCTGGGCTGAGCTGGCGTTCACAGGGAACCAGTGCGTGCAGGCTGGAGTGAGGTCTGTGGCCCTGTGAAGCAGCAGCCCCTCGTACGTGGGGGCTCCTGATGCGACAGAGATGTGGCTTTGTGATCTTAGGGTGGGCTGGCCCAGAGAAAGCATTTAGTGGCAAGTGGGGCTTCTGCACTCCAGGTGCCTGGTACTGCTGCGCCCTGCCGGTGTTGTCAGGGTGCTGTCTCTCAGTAGCCCTTGTGTGGGGTCTAAGGGGTGCTCTGTTCTCTTCAAAGCAGCATGGAGGAGCTGGAGAGGGGAGCCCACAGCCCAGAAGGTAAGTTCTTCCCATCGGTGCTGCTTTGCACATGCCCAGCATGTCCTCTGCAGGAGGAGGAGGCCAGTGGCTCATCTGGGAGGGTCTGCTTCCCCTCCCAGGCTGTGCTGTGTCCTCAACCACACGCCTCAGGGGCTGGTTCTTCCCTCTTGCTTTTCAGAGTCGGCACCTGCTGTGCCCCGAGTGGGCTCTCCTATAGCACAACTCCTGTGCCACCGCCTGGGGCAGCCCCCAGATGGCTTGAGGGGGCCAGGAGGGCTTGGAGACCTCCCTGCAGCTGGCCCCGGGACTGCTGGCCCAAAGACTCCCCTGGGCTAAGCCAAATCTCTGCAGCAATGGACCAGCCACTCAGGATTCACCCTGTGCCTGCCCCCGGGCCAGAGAGCGCCTGCTCCAGGCACTGCCCGCCGGGCACGGGGTCTGCTGGCACCACTGCCGTGCAGTGCACAGCCTGGCACCCCCCTCGTCCTGCATGACCCGCCCCAAGCTGCAGCTGCTCCCAGCCCGGGCTGGTGGGCCAGTGCCCCTCGGGCAGAGCCTGTGCCCCTCGGGCTGCACCCCATCTCCCCTGCCTCGCTCCTCCTGGTAGCGACTGGGGACCAGCAGAGGCCGAGCAGCTCCTGGAGATGGCAGAGGACTTGCTCAGCACGCATGACCCTCGAGAATGATAGCTCCTGGCCTGGAGTGAGGAAGGCCTTGCCCCTGCCGTTCAGCCCCACGCCCTCTCATGGGTGAAACGAGCTAGTTTTTAAAGGAAAGCTCTGCCTTTATAGGGAAATAAATGAAGTTTTTATACTGTTGCCATTGGGTTTGAGTGCTGCATGCCTGTGCAGGAGGCCGTGTCTGTGCTGCTCTGCCTGCCAAAGAGCCTGGGCTGTGCCCCAGCGTCATGGCACGTGCAGCTGCCCTGGAGCTCCCACATCTTCCTTGGCTGCTGGCCCTGAGGGAGCTGTTCCCCCTGTGGTGAGGGTACCTGGGGCCCAGTGTGGCCCCTGTTATCTGGTGGAGCTAGTCCAGGCTGTGCTTCACCCCTGCAAGGCTCCAGGCTTAGGGAAGAGCAGCTGGAAAGTGCCCGGTGGAAAAGGACATGGGAGTGCTGATCAAGAGGTGGCTAAAGGTGAGCCAGCATGTGCCCAGGTGGCCAAGGAGGCCACCAGCATCCTGGCTTGGGTCAGCACTGGTGTGGCCAGCAGGAGCAGGGCAGGGATTGTCCCCTGGACTGGGCACTGGGGAGGCCACACCTTGCATTCTGGGCTTGATTTTGGGCCCCTTACTCCAAGAAGGCCCTTGAGGGGCTGGTGCGTGG